AAGAGTTTGAGACCAGCCTAACCAACATGGAGAAAGCCTGTCTCTAGTAAAAATACAAAATTAGCCAGGCGTGGTGGCAGGCGCCTGTAATCCCAGATACTCGGGAGGCTGAAGCAGGAGAATTGCTTGAACCCAGGAGGCGGAGGTTGCAGTGAGCCGAGATCACACCACTACACTCCAGCCTGGAGACAGAGCTAGACTCTGTCTCAAAAAAAAAAAAAAAAAAAAAAATTCCCTTTATAGGCCAGGAGTTTCAGACCAGTCTGGATAACATTTCAGGACCTCATTTCTACTTTAAAAACTAAAGACAGAAAGAACACCCATTATATACCATGGTAAAGTCCTATCCACAATGAGCTATATGGCTTTTAAACTGGTTGAACTCTAACTGCCTGAACAGTTCCAAGTCATTAGCTACACATGTTGACCTAAAAGAAGCAGCTGAGGCAAAATTAACAGAGGGAATTTGTTTGGGCCAAAGTTGAGGACTGCAGTCCAGGACATATTTCCAAGCTGCCTTGGGGAGTACTCTGTCTGCCTCTGTTACAAACAGGTTTTTAAAGGAAACAAGGAGTGGGCTGATACAAAGTTGTTTGACAGGAATTCTCATTGGTTTACAGAGATAATATTGATTAGTGATTGCCTATACACTGTTAAACTACAGGGTATGAATTATAATATCCATCATATGGCATTGTATGGCTACTTGGCATCAATTAACAACCCACGTAGCAAGTGGCTTCAAGGTAATTATTCAGCTCAGGAGAGGTGAGACTGCTGTCACATTTTAAATGACTCTCTGTGATGGATAATTTAAAGAAGCTCCCATTCCTCAGACAAAAAGTTTTTTTTTCCTTTCCTGGAGGGAGGCACAGAAAGAATGACAGCTGAGATAAAATGACTGTGGAGTAATGGAAAAAGGGTTTAACAATCTGGAGGTGAGGGAGGGCAGGGGGAGAACGTTGTTTTAATAAACAGGAAGTGAGGGGGATAATTCGTACTGCACAGTAGGCTCTCCACAAATAAATGAATGAAAAAATGAATAAAACAAAAGAACAAAAAGTAGTTGAGAGGATGAACAGTCTTTTATGACATGGCCCCAGAAGTAGAAAGAAAAAATTAATATTTAATTTGCTACCCTGTAAACATATCTTAAACATATCTGTTCTATAGAAAAATGCAACTGAAATTCTCAACAACCATTTTTACAAAGTTTTAGAAAATGACTCATCCATAAAACTTGCCAATTTATATAAAATTAGATGGAAAAATCAAATTTACTAAATCAAAAACCTAAAGGCAAAAATTACTAAAGAAAAAAAGTACAGAAAATGGTTAATTATAAAACTAAATGCAGAAAAATTCAACCACAGTTATTTTAAAACATACCAGACCATCCAGAAGACTTTCCATCTTCTGTATAATGCTTTTAAAAATGCCACCACCACCATATTTTAACAAAATTCCCAGGTAAGTAAATGTGGTGTGTTCACACTGCATATCTTATACAAAGTGAACACGCCAAGTTCAAGGGGTTACTTGTGTATTCTGGGGAGTCAATCAACAAACATGTACTAAGCATATACCAGGCAATGTGTCATGTATGTAATAAATGAACTATCAAATTAACTGTTATTACTAATGATACCAAATTACACCCTCTGTATGCCAGACCATAAAAAAGGTTAAGAGTCACCACAATAGAGATGTAACTGCCAAAATCCCCCATAAATGATTATGGCTTTGTTAATTTTTTGTGAAAAATCTTTTTTTGTTGCATTTGTTATAACGAAATGTGATCCCTACCCAGTCAAGTGGTAAAATTTAAGTTAGGGTGTCATGTAACGAAAATGAGTATTAATTTATGAAAAGCTCTCACAGCAGACTGATGTTTTGTTGTTTAGAATCACAGTGAAATTTCATTACATCACTGTCTAAAATAAGTATGGACTTTTTTTTTTTTTTTTTTTTTGAGATGGAGTCTCACTCTATCACCCAGGCAGGAGTACAGTGGCGCAATCTCAGCTCACTGCAACCTCCGCCTCCCCGGTTCAAACGACTCTCCTGCCTCAGTCTCCCAAGTAGCTGGGATTACAGGTGTCTGCCACCATACCCAGCTAATTTTTGTATTTTTAGCAGAGACAGGGTTTCATCACGTTGGCCAGGCTGGTCTTGAACTCCTGACCTCAGGTGATCTGCCCGCCTCAGCCTCTCAAAGTGATGGGATTACAGCCGTGAGCCATAGCGCCCAGCCTCGTTTTTCTTTTTAAGAGAGATTTTTATAGTCTACTTCCTTCAGTGGCATATATCTTAAACCAAATTTAAGTTCAAAGTAAAATTCATAATGTTTATTGAAAATTTCACTTATCACACTGACAGAATAATTTATCACACATTTAGTTATTGTGCTATAACTAAATGGTAAATCATTAAAAACATACAAAAGAATTAGGAAATAATAGAACTAAAAATGTGTACAGAAATAGTTTATTCTTATCTATCTCAGAATTAAACTTGAGCTTTCTCGGCCAGAATCTATTACATAAAGCTTTCTCCCAGCTAGGTGCTATGCTTTTACCTGCCAGGTGCTCTAAGAAACAATGAATCATTTTATTGCAATAGACTGTTAAATAATTCTATGTTTATATTCTACTCTACTTAAGCAAATATCATTTTACTGACTCTAGTAAATACTTGTAAGAGTCCAGGCTCAGTGGATCACACCTGTAATCCTAGCATTTTGGGAGGCTGAGGCAGGAGAATCACTTGAGTCCAGGAATTCAAGAGTAGCCTGGGCAATATGGTGAGACCTTGTTTCTACAGAAAAAAAAAATTCAACCAATTACTGGGCATGGTGGCATGTACCTGTAGTCCCAGCTACTCAGGAGCCTGAGGTAGAAGGATAACCTGAGTCCAGGAGGCTGAGGCTCCATCCAGTGAGCCAAGATTGTGCCACCACACTCTAGCCTGGGTAACAGCAAGACCCTCTCTCAAAAATAATAACAGCAATTAAGACAGAAAGACAAAAATAAACAATGACTAACAGTAACTGAGACAGCACAATGCCACAAAGCAAATGAGCAACAGAATTCGGATTCCAACACAAGCTGTACAACTTTAGAGTGCATATTCTTCATCACCTATGTATGATATTCTGCCTCTTAAAGATATCTCCTGCTATTTTTATATTACAATAATAAAAATGTTGACAACAATAAAAGCAAAAAACTCCCGAAACTTCCAATTCGAATGAATCGGAGATATAACAAAACACCAATTTTTTTTCTTCTACATAATATCCAAAGAAGCTATAGACACTATGGTTACGATTTAAAGGGAAAATAAAAATGAACAGGGAAAAAAACAAACTACAAACCTTATCTTACATGTCCCATTCCAACAAGGTTGTGAGCAGCTCAATGTTGCTTTTGTTTTTATTTACTTCATTTCAGAAACACTGCATTCTCATCAGTGACTGATCCTCAACCTTCTATAGTTTCAAAAAACTTCAGCTTTAAGAAAACATACACTCCCCCCCATAGTAATACTCCATAAAACACCGAAATGTTTGGAGATAATGCAAATAAAGGAATCTAAACTGTTTATATAAAGTTTATATAAGTCCCAAATTTGACTTACTGTCATAACTTAGTTTGGGAAGTTTCTAATTGAGAAAATGTATAATTCAAATTCATCTTAAATTTGCCATATGAACTTTAAAGTACTGAAATGCCATTCCAATCTACTGAGTGGGTATGAAAAATGTGAACTCATTTCAACACTACTGTAGTCATTATTCTTCTATTAATACTCTAAAGTTAATTCTTCTTCCATGAATTTTTCAGGGACATACGAGTCAGTCACTGACTAAACAGTTCTATTACTGGATTATGACATACCTAAACTTAACATTTCATTAAAAGTATTTAAAATTTTTGCTAAATAGAATCATAAAATTACAAAGCTAAAAGGAACTTAAAAGGTCATTTCTTTATTTCCCTTGCCTTCAAGAAGGATCATACTCATACTACCAAGATTTTTATCTATTTTATAAAGCCCCAGACAACAGAATCCCAAAATCTGCCTTAGAAACCTATTTTAATACTCATTCGAAGTAATTTTACTCACACTTAAATTGCTGAAACCAAAAAGGACACAGTAAAGTAGAACCAACATGGGTTTTGAAGGCAACACCTAACTTTAATCCCATTTATACCAAAACTACTGGCAAAATGACACTGGGCAAATTACAGTACCACTCAAAGCCTTATTTCTTGTCCATAAAATGGGGTTATAACTAACTGTTGAAATCTGTTTAAGGATTAAATTAACAGACACAGTCCCAACTATAGTGCATGATACCAATACCATACCTGGTGCTCAATAATTGCCATTTCCTTCCCTTTTAAAATCATTTCCCAGCACTTTGGGTTCTGGTAATGGTGAAGCAACTTGGTCAGATACACTTTCCTATAAAATCTGGACAAAAACACCATTTTTCAATGCTCTGGAGAGAGACCAAATGCAGAAAGAAGCTGAGAAGAGTTTACCCATGAAAAAAAGAAAGTGTATCTGACAACAGGCACTTGTTTATACCTTTTTGTCTAACAGCAATTCTCAAACTTTCTGGACTCAGGACCCCCTTACACTCTTAAAAATTACTGGCCAGGTGCAGTGGCTCACGCCTGTAATCCCAGCACGTTGGGAGGCTGAGGCAGGCAGATCACAAGGTCAAAAGATTGAGACCATTCTGGCCAACATGGTGAAACCTCGTCTCTACTAAAAATACAAAAAAAAAATTAGCTGGGCGTGGTAGCGCGCACCTATAGTCCCAGTTACTCAGGATACCAAGGCAAGAGAATCACTTGAACCAGGGAGGCAAAGGTTGCAGTGAGCCGAGATTGCGCCACTGCACTCCAGCCTAGTGACAGAGTGAGACTCCCTCTCAAAAAAAAAAGAAAAAAAAATTTCTGAAGATCCCGCATTAGAAATTTTAAGAGATCCTTTCACAGTTCGAAAGCATGACGTTTAAGTTTTCATGCACACGAGATGTGCCTCCCTCAAACATTGTCACAACATCGGTACATTACCATCTGGCATGAAAATACAAAAAAACTGAAAGGAAAAAAATTGCAATTTATTAATTCATTACAAACAACAAACTTTTTATATCTTAACATAAAAGTTGTAACGACATTTTCTGGAACAAACAAAAATATTAATGAGAAGAGTAGCCCTGTTCTACCTTTTTGCAAATCTGTTTAATGTATAGTTTTTAAAAAGTTAACTGTATTCTCATATCTGCTTCTGCAATGAATCACTGCAATCCATTGTTCTAGTTGAAGTACATGAAGAAAATTTGGCCTCAAGTACACACGTACCTAACTGGAAAAGGCAGGGACCCTGATCACCCCTTGCAAAGCTCTCAGAGACAGACAACGGTCCTCAGATCACACACTGAGAATTGCTGATCTACAGGGGCTCTAATCTGTGTACAACTTGGGAAGCAGAAAGATATAGCTTTACCGAATTTAGGTGACACCAGACAATGTTTGAGGTTGACAGGGCAGTTCTAACATTGAGGTGTAAATTCTGGAAAGGAAGAAGCCAACAGGGGCTAAGTCCCCAAAATTTACGTATAAACTGTCCCAAACCTTGGCTATCTGCTGAACTATGCATGTGCAGAGGAGATTCAAGGGTACAATGACAAAGAAAGAGCTAGAAAGAAAAGATTTCAGCTGCTGCTATCACTGAAAAGAGAATGCAGTTTTAATCCAGCCAAGCAAAACACTCACTAGAACCGAAAAAAAAACTCTTCAGAGGAACACAACATAAATGTTAGAAAGTTTATGAATGAAAATTTATGCTTACATTATAAATAAAATGTAGACTACATTTCGTCTCTACACTTCATAATATAAGCATGAAACTTTAAAATTACTGGATAAACATACCAAAATAAAAACACCTCAGAAAAAAAAAACACAAAAAAACAAAAAAACAGCAAAATGTGACCTATACTCAAAAAAAAACACAAAAAACCAAAAACAAAAACAAAAAACACAGTCAACAGAAACCAACCCCAAAAAGACCTAGTCATGCAACTTGCATTAGACTAGCTATAATAAATACACTCAAGGACTAAAGAAACTATTTTCAAAACAAACTTAGAGATGAGGAATCTCAGAGAATTGAAAATTACTCATAAGAATCAAATGAAAATTCTAGACCTAAAAAGTACAACTGAATTGAAAAATACAGCAGGTAGGCTTAACAGCAAGTCGGAATCAACAGAAGAAAGAATAAATGAACTCGAAATCAAGAGAAACTATCCAACCTAAAGAACAGAGAGAAAAAAGACTGACAGCAGAACCTCAGAGACCGACCTGGGGGTCAGGATCAACAAGTCAAATGTTAAGTATAGCTTAAGTCACAGAAAAAGAGTAGAGAATGGGGCAAAAAAAAATTGAAGATATAATGACCTAACACGCCCCCAATGTGGTGAAAAACAAAAATTTATCCAATATCAATATAAACCCTATGCAGCAAAAATACAAAGAAAACATATCTGTGCACAGTCAGATGGCTTAAATAAAATTTTTTTAAAGAAAAGAATCTCAAAAGCAGCCAGAGAAAAACAACAAAGTCAAACAAAAATATGAATATATCTACCTTCTCCTTAGAAACTACAGAGAACAGATGACAATGGAACTACATCTTTATAGAACTGGAAAAAATAACCATCAAGCCAGCATTCTTAAGCAAAACTATCCTTCAAAAATATGGCAAAATCTTTCAGGAAAACAAAAACAAAATTTGTAGCCAGCCAAAAGTACGGCAGTTCCCCAGAAAGTTAAAAATAGAATCATCAAATAATTCAGCAATTCCACTTCTGGGTATAAACCTAAAAGCACTGAAAGCAGGAACCTGACAGATATTTGTACATTCATGTTCATAGCAGCATTCTTTATAATGGCTAAAAGGTAGAAGCAACCCAAGCAACAAGGAGTTCTTGTTTAATGGGTAGTTTCAGTTTGTGCTGATGAAATAAGTTCTGGATGTGGATGGTGGCAATGATTGCACAATAATGTGAAAGTACTAAATGCCACTAAATTTTACACTTAAAAATTGTTAAAATGGTAAATCTTATATTTTACAACAAAAAAATTGTTTTAATCAACATAATTTACCATATTCAAAAATAAAAAAGAAAAACCATATGATTATCTCAATAGATGCTAAATAAGATTTTACTAACTTGAATACTCATTTACAACAAAAACAAAATACTTTCAGCAAATTAAGAAAATAATTTACTCAGTCTTCTGGACATCTATTAAAAAACCTACAGTTAACCTACGTTTTGAAGCACTGAACATTTCCCCCACACATTTAACGAGGGCAAGGATGTCTACTTGCAGCAGTTCTACTCAACATGTTACTGAAGGTTTGGGATAGTACAATAACAGTAATAAAGGTATAAAAATTGGAAAGTAAAACTGTACCTATTTGTGTGCAACATAACTATTAATGTAGAAAAATGCAGAAGAATTAAATGATATGATTAATAGATGTGTTTAGCCAGGCGTTATGACACAAAGTTAACATACAAAATTTTACTGTGTATCTAAGTACTAGCAACGAACAACTGGAAAACAAAACTAAAAAACGATTCCATTTATTTTTGCATCATACAACATAAAATGCTTAGTAATAAAGTTAACAAAGGATATACAAGACCTCTACCAAAACTGCAAAATGTTGCTGAGAAAAATTAAAGATGACCTAAATAAATGGAGAGATGTGCCACGTTCATGATTGGACGTTTCAAGACTGTTAAAATGTCTCCAAAGTGATCTACAAATTCAATTACAGTCTGAAATACACAACCCCAATTACAGTCTCAGTATAATCATACTCCTTTTTATAATAATAAGCAAGCCTATTCTAAAATTCATAATTGAAACACAAAAGATCTAAAATCTTGGGAAAACAACAAAGATGGAGAATTTACATTAACATCAGGATTTACTAAAAAGCCATTCAATGGTTCTCAGCTGGGGCCAATTTTGTCCCTCAGCGGGCATTTGGCAATATCTGGATACGATTTTGGTTGTCACAACTGGAAAACCATTACTGGCATCTAGCAGGTAGAAATCAAAGATACTATTAAATATCTGACAATGCATAAGACAGCCTCACAACAATGTGGCCCAAAATGTCAATAGTGCCAAGGTTGGGAAATCCGAAACTACAGTAATCAAGACAATACAGGCCGGGCACAGTGCCTCATGCCTACAATCCCAGCACTCTGGGAAGCCGAGGCGGGTGGATCACCTGAGATCAAGAGTTCAAGACCAGCCTGGCCAACATGGTAAACCCTGTCTCTACTAAAAGAGCAGCCAGGCGCGGTGGCAGGTGCCTGTAATCTCAGCTACTGGGGAGGCTGAGGCGGGAGAACAGCTTTAACCTGAGAGGCGGAGGCTGCAGTGAGCCAAGATTGAGCACTCCAGCCTGGGTGACAGAGTGAGACTCTGTCTCAAAAAAAAAAAAAAAAAAAAAAAAACAGACAATATGGTATTGACATAAGGATAGTCAAACAGATTAATGAAACAGAATGCAGACTCCAGAAGTAGACTTCTTAGGTCAACTATTCAATAAAGGTGACAAAGCAACTCAATGGAAAAAGTGTTTTCCAAAGTAGGTTCTAAAACAACAGGATATCCATACGCAAAAAAAAAAAAAAAGAAAGAAGAAACTTGATCTCTACTTCCCTCCATAAAGTATAGCTCAAAATAAATCACAGACCTAAACAAAAGTTAAATGATAAATTGATAAAGTTGATAGAAAATTGCATTAAAAAGATCTTCACAACCTAGCAAAACTACTGAGAAAAGACTTAAAACCAGAATATATAATACAAAAAAAAAAAAACAATCACTAAAAGAACTCCTACAACTCAATAAAAACAAAATCCAATCTTTAAAATGGATAAAGAACTTGAAAAAGACATTTCACAAAGGATATAAACAAATGGCTAAGTGCATGAAAATTCAAAGTGGTCAGTATTAATATCATCATAGAAATACAAACTAAAACCAAAATGAGAAATATAAATTAAAAGCACAAACTACATACCCATTAAGATGACTAAAATATACAAGACTGCAAACAACTGATTGTTGGTGAAAATGTAGAGCAACACAACCTCCCATGTATTGATGGTGGGCAGGTAAACAGTACAAAAAGCTCTAGCTGTTTCTTATAAAGTTACACCTATCCTACTACCCAGTGATTCCAATCCTAGGCATGTACTCAAGAGAAATAAAAACGTAAGTCCACAAAAGGCCTCATACAATAAGGTTCTGCTTTATTCCTAATAGTATGTAAGTGGACAAGCGAAAGAAACCATGTATATTCATAAAACAGACCACTTACTACACAGTGATAAAGAGAAATGAAATTCTGATATGTACAACAACCTAGATGAATCTAAAAACATTATGGTGAGTAAAGGATGTCAGGGACATTTATGGTCACCTAAATGTAAAATTCTAGAGCAGGTGACAGTAATGTATGTTTATTTAAAAAAAAAAAAAAAAAAAAAGGGCTGGGCCCAGTGGTTCACACCTGTAATCCCAGCACTTTGGGAGGCCAGGGCAAGCGGATTGCTTTAGGCCAGGAATTGGAAATCAGCCTGGTCAACATGGCGAAAATACAAAATACCAGAAACACAAAAATAGCCAGGCAAGGTGGCACATGCCTGTAGTCTCAGTTTCTTGGGAGGCTAAGGCATGTGAATTGCTTGAACCCAGGAGGCAGAGGTTGCAATGAGCCGAGATCACATCAAGCACTCCAGCCTGGGCGACACAGCAAGACTCTGTCTCAAATAATAATAATAATAATAATAGCAGCAGATGACTGGAGGGCATGGGAACTAACCAGAAAGGGTCACTAAGGATCTTCCTGGGGTAACAGAGCTGTTCTCTATCTTGATAGGAGTGTAAGTTATACCCATGTGAACATTTGTCAAAATAAAGCAATTAAGTTTTATGCATTACAATGCATATAAATCTTACCCAAAAAAACTATCTAAAAA